TTTCTATTTAATCCGGTCACCTAGCCTACTCTTCCAAATTCAGCTTAATTGACCACATATGGAGTGATCAATTTCTTATTCCTGAAGTCATCTGGCATTCAAGGGACATGAATAGGTCAAGAGCATATATGCAAAAACCCCATAGCCCCAAGTTTGCCTTATGAGAAGTTCTCAATCAGTGAATCAATGAACCAATCAACAAATCAATCAATCAAGGTACATGTATTGAATCAGAACCTAGTAGTCACTTAATGAGGTAAATGAACTTTGCTTACTTCTAATTTGGTAATTGATAAAGATTAACTTCTTTCATAAACATAATGTTCACTGTGTTTTTCTTTGTTATTTTAGTTAAAGATGTAGACGGTGGGCTTGACCAGGATATATTTGATATCAATGAAGGTTTGTAGACTTACTTTTTACATTATTTATTAAGTGGGCAGTTTGAATCCAATTTGCTAACATTAATTTTTATCTTTCCTTTTAGATTTGGGACTGGATCTTTTTGAGGGAGACATCAAACTTGATAGTGTGAGTTGAAACAATGCAAGGAAGAATTGTGTATTACTAATTACTGCAAGCTAAAATACAGAGTATCTAAGAATGATTGCTCAGCATGGGCTAAGTTATGCCCAACTATCTTTAAGGGTACAGAATCATGGTGATACATTTATTTAATGAATACATTGTACTGTAAGGGACTCATATAATAGTTATCATCCGTCACTCAGATTTCTGTGTGGTTAAAGCCACCATTATCCACTGTAGACACATTGGTCTTATTGATCTTTTTTATTGTAATTATTGGAACAATAGGATGTTTTCATCTTTAAATAGAACCTCACTGGTTCAATCTAGTTGAAGCAAAGTTAAACTGAATTTGTAAATGTCTTTGACGAATCAGGCCTTTTACCATAAGAGATAGATTTTGTGACTTCTACTCTGACAGCTAAAAATAGTATTGTTAAGAAAGGGTCTTCCCAAACCTACTCATAAAGAGTACTAATTCTTCACTAGCCATCATGGCCCACAGATGAACACAGAGATACCTTACATGTAGTTTAAGAGAGCTTAAATGTTCGCTATCATAAGCGTTTCTTACATCCCTCTCACCTCCTCTGTAAACTTCAACTCAAGAATAAGAGCTGCAGTGTCTGAGGTTTAGTCCTAGGCCTGCTCTTCTATCTGAACTCTCTTCTGGATCTCACCTTGTGCCTGGGCTTTAGGTGTCATCTCTCTGCTATGACTCCAAACGTATAACTCGAGTCCATTCCTTTTGCTGAGATCCAGACTGCTCTATCCAGATGCCAATTTGTCACTCCCATTTGAATGTCTACAAGATACCTCAAATCTAAGGTGTCCTATGAACTCAGATTTTCCACACAAGTTGTTCCTCCCATCTTCCCAAGTGGTAAAGTCATCACCACTCCCTCACCCCATGCCACTGAATAAGTAAACAAAACCCAGGAGTCACTTTTCTTCTTCCCTTTCCCTCACCTTGACATCCAATCCATCAGCGAGTTTTGTCATTTCTATCTCCAGCATATACCTCAAATCACCCACTTTTTTCTTAATTTAATCTTTCTATTTCAAATATTGCCCTGTCCTTGTCCCACACCCCATAGTAAAGTGACCTTTTAAAGAGGCAATGATATACCATTTCACTTATGGGCTTGAAACTCTTCAATAACTTCCTATTGCATTTAAAAGAATATCCAAATTTGCCTATAACTTTCAAGACCTTGCATAACTTAACTCCTGCCTTTTTCTCCTCCCATTTCTTCTTCTCTTCCCTCCTTCCCTCCCCTCTCCTCTCTTCTCTTATCTCATCTCTTTTTTAACTCATTAGGCTGCTGGCCTCCAATCATACTCAAAACATACCAAGCACGTTCCCACCTCAGGACCAGAGCAACTACTCTTTCCTCTACTTGAAATGACCTTCCCAGGGTCTCTTCAGCCCTGGCTCTATCCTATCATTCCCATTTCACCTTAAATGTC